GGGCAACCATGAGCCGAGATTTCAAACCCGGCGACTTGATCTTCGCCAAGATGAAGGGCTACCCGCATTGGCCAGCGAGGGTAAGCGCCCCCTTGCTCCGCCGCCGCCTCTCACCTGCGCGGCCCGTGCCCCATCCCCGTGCGCCCCTCCGGCCTTCGCTCAGCCCATCACTGCGGGGCGCCTACACGCCCGCTAACACCGGCGCAGCTCTTTCGGCTGAGGGAGGGAATGGAGCGCTGCAGTTTTTGTTTCCCACTGCTACCCGCATTGGCCAGCGAGGGTAAGCGCCCCCTTGCTCCGCCGCCGCCTCTCACCTGCGCGGCCCGTGCCCCATCCCCGTGCGCCCCTCCGGCCTTCGCTCAGCCCATCACTGCGGGGCGCCTACACGCCCGCTAACACCGGCGCAGCTCTTTCGGCTGAGGGAGGGAATGGAGCGCTGCAGTTTTTGTTTCCCACTTTTTAGGGGGGAGGGTGTTTGAAATGCGTGTCACACGAGCAGGTTTTCTGTGTGTGGAGGGGCCCGCCTGGTGGTGCCTCGGGACGCAACTCAGTCTTCTTGCGTTTTACTTTTTTGGGGCTGAATTTTAAGCCTCTCTACTTGTAACATGCCTAGCTAAATAGCAGTATTTTCAGCAGCGCTCATTCCTGTCTTTGGCTTCTTGTGACTCTTTGCCATAGGCAAATAGGATTTTCTGGGATGCACCAGCTTTTTCAGTTGAACTTACGGGAGAGGATGGTGAAGCAACTGTTACTGGGAGGTGGAGGTAGCACAGATATTTACAGACCATACTCACATTGTTTACCACTTTAGTGTGATTAGATGTTAGTAATAAAGACTGTAGTATAACCTGAAACAAAAGACAGGAGTCTTTTGTTTCAGCTAGACCAGACTAACACGGCTGCATCTCTGTCACTGTAGTATATAACCTGTGGGAGTATTCAAGGGTGTGGACAAACACTAAGCACGCCTCCCAAATAGCTAGCTTTATTTCACAAAACATTACTGTTATGAATGTGTGCATTATGCTATGTAGTCTGCTGGAGGAACAGTACCACTAAGTATTCTGTTCACTGTGGAACAGAAAGCCAGTCTAATTTCTCCATCAACTTTAATAGTAGCCTTTAAAGTGATGGAAGTTTCTGAGGCTGTTATATTTCAGTTGGTGATTTTGATTCACAGATGAAAGACTAGTGTACAATTTATATGAATAAAATTCTGGATTAAGAATTGTAAAAGGCTTTGTTTTTTTTTAAACTGTCATCTCTCTTAAGACATTGTGCTAGTATAAGTCATCAGCTCAACTAGTTGAGAAGCATTGCTATGGGTTTTGGTGAAGATGGCTGTGCAGATGAGAGTAGGGGGAGCAAATACTGGGTATGTAGGAAACCATGCTGCTTCTAACCATGCTTTTTGTACCTTTTTTTAAACAAATGTTAATTTTGAAGTATACTGTCATTGTTTTGTCATTCTATTACGATATAAGAAACATATCTTTGAGATTTCTGTATTGTAAGATTTTTTTCTATACTGTTGTTTTTCAGATTTAATAACATTTTAAATGTCCCCACACACACACACTGTTTTTTGTTGTTACTAAATATTTTAATTATCATAATGTAACTTTTTCCCACTAGGTGGATGAAGTTCCTGATGGAGCAGTGAAACCTCCTACAAATAAAATGCCTATTTTCTTTTTTGGAACACATGAGACGTAAGTTCTTTACACAAAAAAGCACATCCATTTTCATTGCAGAATTTCTTGACAGTAATTCCACAGCCAGCCTGCATATGAAGCAGTCACAATTGTTATTTGGAAATAGGTAAAGTTTCCCTCAGAAAGATAAACAACTTAAAATGAAGGCTGCTTCATCTTCACATCTATCATGAAATACTGAGGGGAGTTGTTGAGTATAACCTTCCATGAGATGTCAGGGAGTGCTTCACACACACACACTCACCCCAGCCCTCCTTTCCTCTCTGCAGGTCACACACTGGCTCTCTAGGAGCAGTGATTGCCAGCTCCACATGATGAAGCCTCCCCAGAACGGGGGCTGGCAACCCTTGCTAGCCCTGCTCCTGGGGAAGTGGCTTCGTTACGGCAGCAAAGTTGGCAGTCTACATCGGCTCTATGAAGTGGCTTTGCTGCAACAGTGAAACCTCCCCCCAGGGAGCTGCTCCCAGGGAAGAAGCTTTGCAGTTGGGAGGGGACCCAAGGAGGCTTTGCTGTGGGCTCTGCAGTATAAAGCTTACTTATAGTGGTAACACAGTTATTAAATGAGTATTTACATCCCTAGCTATTATGACTACCCTGACTGTCCCTCTGTTTTTTAATAAGGTATTCATTTTGGCCTTGAACATCATCTGTCCTTTATTTTGTTCTCAATGAACAGGAAAAGAAAAGAAAATTTGTACTTCTTAAATTATAAGATATCTACTATATAATTGAGAGAGTCTGTTCAAGAACTCCTCCTAAATGGTAAGAGCTAGGATCACCAAATTTGGTGTACAGCTTCCTCTTATCATAACTTAAAGCAAGGTTAAGGGTTTGGTTGTTCCAGGACAATGGCATGTGCCTGGAATGGGACTGTTTCTCATAAAATCATTTAAAAAAGACACAGAATCGGCAAGCAGGTGAAAGGGGCTGGCTGCCCTCCCCCCAATCTAGGACGGCCTCAGCCCCAAGCCTCTCCTCCCCAGCTGTGAGGGCAGGGGACTGAAGTTTCTCCCCACTTCCCTCCCTCCCCCCCGCATTTGTATGGGAACATTTCTGGCTATTCCCTTTTGTCAGGGAGCGATGGGAAAGTTTGCTATTTTCCTCACTCTCACTCTGGCTAGGAAACATAGGGGACAGACGAACCTTGACCTTCCCCTTTTTCAGCTGGAGCTATAGCAGCCGTGGAGAGATGTTTCTCACCTGGCCCCAAGCTGCTGTAGTAAGAGAGGGCTAAGGTAGGCCTCTCTATGCAGGTCAGCCTGCGTACTGAAACCCTCATCCCCGGCTCCACCCCAGAACAATGATTCAAATGAAGCATGTACATTTTCAATTTATTGTCCAAAAACTAAAAATTGAGTTAAGGACCAAGCAACGTTGGGTAAATCTTCTTCTAGTATAAAAAAAAAAAAAAAAAAAAAAGATAAAAATGGCACCCATCCTCCCTGATTTGGTTTCTACTTTATGCTCATTTTTATAAAGAAGTTAGAACTGTCATGTTGAATGCATATTTGGTCCATGTTACCCAATTCCTATCACTATGCTATCTTCCCTCACATCTGTCTGCAGGATCAGGTTTGTGTACGCTCAGTGTATCTTAAATTTACATGTGCGGGAATGGAGCTGAAGCCTTTTGGGTTTGTTTTGGCATTGCAGCAATACAAATAAGAATGCCATCCATCTGTTCCTTTCCTCACTGATTAAATACTATTCTTGATTCTACTACTTGCTGCTTTTTATTAGTATTCCAGAATGCATCTGCATATTGATTTCAAGATCACAGATCGGGGTAGAGAAGTAAGAAATCTACATGAGCCAACATCTAATAATATTTGAAAATCTTGGGCAACATTGGGCAAAAGCTCAAGTTCCATTTTCAGATGTGATTTAGACTCCTAACTTAGGCAGTTTAAAAAAAAATGTTTACTACAAAATTAAAACATGGCCAACCCCGTGCGTTACGTTATTACTACTTTTTCAAAGGCTGTCCTATCTTACAGCGTTGCAATGTATTTCCCAATATCATTTCTCCCCTAGTTCTTAATAGGGATGTTAAATGTAGTTTAATCAACTAATTGACTAGTCATTGGATTTTCCATTGACTAGTTGATAAGCGGGGAGCTGCATTGGGGTTAGCTCTGGCTCCAGGAGCTAACCCTGCTGCAGCTCTGCCTTTTAAATGGATTAAGAGCCTATCAGCTCTTACTACATTGAAAAAGCAGAGGCACATCTGGGACTAGGTGATTCCCAGCTTGTGCCTGGTCTTTGTTACTTCCCTGCTTCGTGTGAAGATGATGCTGGGGGGAGCCAGCTTTTAAGTTGTCTCCTGCTCACCCCCTTGCTGCCTCTGATAAAGAAGCAAGAGGGGGGGACGGAGAAGTGACTAGTCAAGGGACTAGTAGACTATCTGATAAGCTTTTGCTCCGGATCTGGCTCATGGGGAAGAAGCAGAGGTAGAAGTGGCACCATATGCTGCTGCTCCCCCTCTTCTGACTGGTGGAACAGCAGCGCACGGACATGCTGCCTGGAGGTTTTCCCCACTGCTCCGGTTGGCTGGAATCCAGCCAATAGGAGCAGCGGGAGGTTGTGCCTGGGGGGTGCAAAGGCAGTTAAGTGCTCCTTTCCCTCATGCCCAGACTCCGCCCTCCAGCCCCCGCCCACACCCCCCGCCCACACACCGCTGCTGAGATCCATACTCCCAGCCTACTTCTGCACCCTCCCTCTCAACCAGACATCCTATTCACACCCTGCTCCTGCACCAACCTTTGCTCCTGCACCCCCCTCTCCTGGCCCCACACTGCACCTTTCCTTGCTTCTGCTCCCTTCCTCTTAGACAGACACCCTACCCCCCGCCTCCTTCTGCAGCCTACCTCCCACCCAGACCTTTGCACTCTGACCTACTCCTGCACCCCACTTCCTGCTCCACAAAATCCACTAACCATGAAACTCCAGAAGATTAAATATGGCCTATGGGAAGCTCTGAACTCCAGGAATGAGGTGCCTCAGTTGGGGACCACATCAGTGAGGATTGGGGGTTTTGGAGGGGATTTCTTGCTTCTCACTTGTGTGGTCCCGACTGATTTTTCTGTGTGTGTCAGTTGCCTCTGACCCTAAAAGGTTACCCACCCCTTCCATAAATAAAGAAAACATTGAAACCTTTTGTGTTGGACATAATTAATATTTTACTTTATTTAAAATGAAGTTTGATAAGCTAACATGAGACTGTTAAAGTGCTTAATCTGTTTAATAATTTAAATTCATATTACATTTCTTACCGGTTATATTAAACCGTTCTCCCTAGCTGCAGCACTAGCAAAATGGCTTGGGCATAATTAGGTAATTAATGGTGAGTTTCCATTAGCAACTGGTGGTCCTCAGAAAGATTTGCCTTGAGCCAGGTGGGCCACGGGCCAAAAAGTTTGAGAACTACTGACCTACATTAAAGGCAGAGAGCACTGAATAACCATGAGAGAGAACAGACGCCCCTGATATGGGGGTATACTAATTATGGAGCATACCAATTTTTGTTTTGAGCTATGTTGCTCAGTGGTTCACCATATAATATCTGGAGCTAACAATTTTCTGTAAATTTTCAGTTGCATAATTTTATACACTTTCCAGGCCATCGGGCGTTGGTGTCATCATGCAAAACAGTCTTTCTGGATTACATAAAGAGTGATTATTTCCTGGCTCCAAAGGTGTCCTTATGCATTTCTCTATAGGTACGATTAGGGAAGAACCACACAATGCTAGAAAAAACTCTCAATCAATTATTTTCTAACTTTTATGTAACATATTAGTGGATTGCAGTTTTTCAACTTACTGTTAGTTTGAATTTGCATTATTATTTTCACGCAATTCTAGGTTTCAGTGTCTCTTGGTTTGCTATGAATGGGATGTGATCGTTGAAATTCTTAATAATCTTCTCTTCATTGGATTCATTCTCATACAGCAATCTGTGAAGCATGATATAGTTCCTTTAGAAGCATAATTATAATAAACATTTTGATAGTCATTGTTTCAGTTTTGTTCATCCCTCCTGGTGGAAAATTGTTAAATTGTTTCTGGTGTGATTGGTCATAGGCAAAAGTTTATGACTTAAATGTCATAAAATTAATACTTGAAACTTTTCATGGACACCATGGCTATGTCTACACTGGCAGGTTCTTGCACCAGAAATATGCAAATGAGGCTAAGCGTGGAATATTGCTGAGCCTCATTTGCATACCTAGTGAGCTGCTGTTTTTTTGCAGAAGAGGCTCTTGTGCCAGAAGGAGCATCTACACTGCCCCTTCTTGCATAAGAAAAACCCTCTTGCTCATTGCTGCTACGCTGATTATGTTCAGGAATAATGGCAGTGCGCAAGAGGGTTTTCTTGCGCAAGAAGGGGCAGGGGAGATGCTCCTTCTGGTGCAAGAGCCTCTTCTGCAAAAAAACAGCAGCTCACTAGGTATGCAAATGAGGCTCAGCGATATTCCATGCTTAGCCTCATTTTCATATTTCTGGCGCAAGAACCCGCCAGTGTAAACATAGCCCGTGTGTGTTAGGGATATGAATGGGTAACTGGGTCTGGGAGCAGAAAATGGCCGCAGGGGAGACGGGGGCAAGGACAGGAGCAGGAGCCCAGCTTGCAGGGTAGGGGGTATAGGAGTGGGAGACAGCTTCCCAGGTGGGGGATTACATCTGGGAGCAGGAGAGCAGGTTAAGAAGGAATGACTTGATTAGTCTCTTACACATTGTGGAAAATATTTAATAATGGGCTTTTCAGTCTAGAAGAGAGAGATCTAATGATCCAAGGGATAGAAGTTGAAGCTAGATAAAAATTTACATCTAATTTCCCATCTGAATTTAACAGAGTAATTAACCACTGGAACAGTTTACAAGGATCATGTTGGATTCTCCATTGTTGACAATTTTTACATCAAGATTGGATGTTTTTCTAAAAGATACTAAGAATTATTTTGGGGGGTTCTAATGGATTGTGTGTTGTACAGGTAGTCATATTAGATAATCACAGTTGTCTCTTCTGACGTTGGAATCTATGAATGTAAAAATCTTCTAAATGTTCTGTAACTTTTCTTTTGTTACCTAGATGAGTAGGACATTAGTTTAAAAGAGACTGTTATAGATTATATAAAAGAGAGAAAGTGGAGCTTTTAAAGTGACTGGGTCTTGGGCTTATATTTTGAACTGAACTAGTTGTAGGTACATGCTTGAACATGAGCAAAAACCACTGAGTTCTTAAACTCTGCAGTTATCAACAAATGCATTGATATTAGGAAATTCTAACATGGAAACATAGGAGAACAAAGAGAAGTTTAATCTGTTTCAGTGTTCTACAATGTCAAGAGAAATACTAGTATTGAGTACTTATTTTTAAATCTTGTTCTCTGAGAACCTGGGTAGAAAAAGCACTTTAGATACTGCGATTTTGATGTAAAGGGAAAGTGCTAAAAGGAAAAGGAGATATAGTTGTGGCACACATAATGCCTTTTATATTTGATATCTACTTCTGAAGAGGCTGATTCTAATGTGCTTTGTATTTGCTGGTTAACACTGAAGAGTCCAGGTTTTAGAAATGGGAAAAGCCTTCAAAACTGGAAAAAAAAAAAAAAACATTTAAAAACAACAACAAATTGGGAGGTAGTGAGGAAAAACTCATTTCTGGTCTCTTCATTGGGGGGGGGGAAACCCTTAAAGTAATGAGCACTTTTAACATTAATCTGCTAATTAAGGGATTCACTCTACTGATTTGGGTAAAATCTAGGAATTAGGTATTTTTGAACATCTATACATTAAAAAAGTTTCCTGACTGGACAGAATATGAATACATCAAATAACTTTTATCTTTGTATATCTCCATATTGATTTGTCTGAGTTACTGTCGTCATTTAAAAAGTAAAAGCTTTTTATGCTTTTTAAAAGTATAATCTTGCAACTAAGGATGTTAAATTTAGATTAATCAACTAATCAAATAGTCAGAAGCAAAGAATGCGGGGCTAGCAGGGGACTGCTTGAGTCCCCTGCTGGCCCTGTGCTCCCTGTACGTGCTTTTCTTTTGAAATGTAGCAAGAGCCTCATTCTTGCTACATTTCAAAGGAAGAAGTACTGTCAGTTACCTGCTGCGCCCCTGGACCTCCCAGCATCGGCTCCTGCTCCCCTGCTTGCTGTCTCTATCAAAGAGCGACAGGAAGGAGGGAGGGAAATGACTAATCAAGTCACTAGTAGGCTATTCGATAAGCTTTTGCTTATCGGATAATCGACTAGTTGCTTACATCCTACTTGCAACACTATTTTGATATTCGTAGTTAAGTTTCCTGTTCTGCAGATGTATGATGCACTAAAGGCACAGGTGTTGAGAACATATTTTCCTTAAGTATTTTAAGTTAGCATAAATTAAAATCTTTCTTTGCCTGTAAGCACTTAAAAGGGGGTTATACTAATTAGGGATATTAAAATGTGGGTAATTATAACCTATGAAAAACAGAGCCGTTACACGCTCCCTCAGCTGGCTCCCCGCACATACTGGCTCTCACAGCCAGCTTCCCATGCATACTGGTTCCCAATACAGAGGCATCAGCGTGGGGCGGCAGGAAGCTTCTTAGAAGCTTGTATGTGCCAAGAGCCAGCCTGGCGTGCAACGGCTGCCACCCCCTGCTGCTGCCTCTGTATCAGAGGCAACAGCATGGGACAGAACAGGCTGCCCCCCCCATGCTGCCTCTGAGATAGAGGCAGCAGTGGGGGGTGGCAGCTGGCTCCCCAGGAGAGGGACAGGAGCCTGCATGTAACCATGAACCGATAAGCCCAGGCTTATTGGTTAACTGTTTACACAGTTATGCATTCACATCCCTAATACTAATACAAAATACACACCGACTGTGGAAACAGCATATGGACCGTCTGTGTAATATTATTGAGACAGCTACAACAGAATACACACTGAAAGCAGTTTGTATCTTAAATATGAGTCTTCAGTTACTTTTAGAGCAGTAGCTTTTTATTGTTGCAAGATAGTTTCCTTACCCTGAAGCCATAATCTCTTGTACTATCCCAAGACACTTTCAAGATTTAAGGACTCTTCCCTCTATTTCATTTATGTTTATTCTTTACTTCCTTACAGCTTCAATCTCCTCAAGTACTTAAGTAATTAATCTGATTTCTCCATACTATGTGACTGTATCTCTTTTATATGTCAATTTTAAGAATTTAAAATGAACTGTTGCAATAGAAAAAATTACTTGTTAATTTTTCCTTCTTCACTTTTTACAGGGCATTTTTGGGACCAAAGGACATATTCCCATATTCTGAGAATAAAGATAAATATGGAAAACCAAATAAAAGAAAAGGCTTTAATGAAGGATTATGGGAAATTGACAACAATCCCAAAGTAAAATTCTCTCATCAACAAGTAAGTGATGTTCGTATGCATTGCTTACAGAGTTCTAAGTATTATTGGTGTTCTCTTCTAATCTAGTTAAATGTCTCGGATTGTCATGCTGTTGTAAAAAAGTAGAGTGATAGTTCAGATGATGTAAATGGGGATAAATTGTGGTTCAGTTTCATTCAATTGCAGCTAAGACTGACAGTGACGTTATAGTTCAGAATTGGTCTTAAGGTTTTCAGTAAATAGATAATAGGATCAAGGAAATTTTTTTGTATTGAGTGATGTGAGTTTACTATGGCAAAATTTAGGAAATTTGATAACTTGTTTCATGGGGTTTAGTGGAAATCATTACAAGTTGGAACAGGTCTTCTAATGATCATTACCAGGGTAACATTGCAAGTCTCAGCTTCTACATTTCTTCATTTTTAAAAATAGTTTCTTGGTATCTTCAGTGAACCAATGGAATCTTATGTCCTTTTTTTCTGTTTACATAATTCACTTTGCATGCCCAAACTGAAGCTGAGAGATTGGGGTGGAGGCAGTGTGTGAAGCCTCTCTCTCTCTTCTCTTCTTCCCCAGCCCATAGGGAAGAGAGCCACATGGAGCATCCAGCTGGTTTGAGCGGCGTAGAGCTGCTCTCTGCCTGGCAGTCCCAGCAAGGTGTACCCAATTAAAAGGCTTTGTGGGCCAGATCTTGCCCACCTCTCTTTGTTTGTCTAGCATATATTCCACTGAACGTGCCCAGTATTAGCAGATCCACTGCTACTAAAGAAGTTGTACTCTCCAGCTTACTATGGTTAGCATCACATCACTGCTCCATTTAATACATTGCTCTTAGCTATGTTTGATATAGTAAAAACAAAAGTTGATTTGAAAAAGAGGGAAGATTCAAATGATAGTAAATAGAAATAGAGGAAACAAATGGTTACATATACAATAAAATCATAATATGCATTCTAGTGCTTTATAAGACATGATCTTATTAAGTTAATGCCTGTGTTCACCCCACAGACCTTGCAGCATATTTCAGGCAGACTTGGCTTTCATACTCATTTTTTCTGTAGACAGAACACACTGTCAGCTTGTTCCCTGGATAAAGAATACTATGTGTCTCTTTGCAACCTCTGATAGAGGTTGAACCTCCTTGGTCCTGCATCCTTGGGACCTGATTGGTCCCAAACTAGGGAATTTGCCAGACCAGGGGCTGGCATTGACAGAACAGGGATGGAGGGACACTTGGGAGAAGAGCCAAGGCAGTCACGGGGTGGGCCAGCAGCCCCCTTGATCTCTGCTGCTGGATGTAGGGCTCCACAGCTACCCTGCCTCTTTCTTTCCCTTGCCTCCCTCCCAGTCCCCGTTCCTCCCCTCCCTCCCTGACTTGAATGCCACAAATGAGCTATTTGTGGCACTCTGGAAGCTAAGGTACTGAGTACAGGGCTTCTGGTTATTTCCTGTGAGTGCTCCCTTCCCTGAGCACTCATAAAAGCCTGGCCAGGGATGTTGCTGAATGAGGGAAATCTGGTTTATAGAGGTCCAACCTGTATATCAAAATAGTCCTTTATGAAGATACATCAAACGGGACAGCCTCCCCCTGTGTAATCCTTCCTGTAGATCTTGCACTCTCTTGTTGATTTCACATTTCCATTATAGGCATTAGCAAAGCAGCCATGTTATCTTTCACGTTTTCACAATGTATTCTTTGCCTGGATTTGGCATTCAGGAGGGAATTGTGTGTTGATCTCTCCATACTCTGGAACTAATGTTTTTTCCCAATCTACAAAAAGAGAGAGGTTTTGTTTGTTTGTTTTTTAATTTAGGATGTGCTTGTTGTTTGTTTCTCTGGTTCTGGTTCATTCTTCTGGCTGGCATGCTATGTATGATGAGCTTACAGAGGATCTGTTTAACTGTAAATGCTTCTCTGCTAACACTTGGTATTGGCCTAATTGCGTCATACTGCAGCAATACTCCGTTCAGAGGATGTTCCTCTAGCCCAGCGGTGCTCAAAATTCATTGCATTGCAACCCCTTTTTGAAGCCTGAGCCCCATGACCTTGGGCTGAAGCCAAAGCCCAAGTTCAGCCACCCAGGTCTAAATGATGCAGAATTCAGGTTTCTGGATGATAGCTCTTGCCCTTCTAGAACATCAATTTAATCAGAAACTCAGACTTCTTAAAACAAAGAAATAGAGTTAAAATAAGTATTCTGGAACCTTAGCTCTGCCTCCCTCCCTCTTTTCCCTACCTCCTCTCTCCTCCCCCCCCCCCTAGCTTGAATGATGGTGGAATAAGTTGCAGTAGCTTGAATGATGGTGGAATAAGTTGCAGTAGCTTGAATGATGGTGGAATAAGTTGCAGTAGCTTGAATCAATTTGAGAGCTGTAATTATGATAGGAGATCTTCCCATGTGTTTATCAAAGGAAAGGTATATGCATCTTGGGAGTTCAGTCTCCATCATCTCAATACATAATTTTGTAGGTGGTTTAGAGTCAGGACACTGGAATCTTCTTGCCAGGGGTATTGTCAATAGTGCTATGAAAGCAATCTATGGATTTATTGATGAGTAGGGGAAAAGTATAGGGGTAAATGGTACCCTGTATACAAGTGTGAAGGGGTTGTGAAATCATTAAATTTTACAAATGTGGTATTATGTCAGGGGAGTGGGCTCTGTGTTTGAATGTAGGCCAAGTGCAAATAATTTTTGTCCGGTAGAGTGAAAAGGCAGAGTGCAAGAATGTATGTTGTATGAACCTTTATTTAATCTCTGTATTTCCTGGTTTTCAGAAGTTTTGAGATTTGCTGAAATTGATGCTCTGGAAGGGCACAAATTATTACCAGACAACCGTAGGAAATTATAAGGGTTTGTTTTCTTTTGTTTTTGTTTTTTTTAAAAACAGAAAAATATTTGTTGGTTGAAGTTTAGTGGTCATTTAGGGTACATCTAGATTACATGCCTCTGCCGACAGAGGCATGTAAAATAGGCTACCCGACATAGTGAAACGCGGTTTACAGGAGCGATTGACAAAGCCGTTCCCTGTCGACCGATCTGTGTCTTGACTCGCATGCTGTGCTGACGATCAGCTGAGCCAGCACAGCATGGCGGCCATTTTTATTTTAATGAAGCCGGGGATATTTAAATCCCTGCTTCATTGACTATATCGGGTAGCCTATTTTACATGCCTCTGTCGGCAGAGGCATGTAATCTAGATGTACCCCTAGGTAGCTGTAGTTCTCAGCTAAGTTTTCAGCTGATATGCTCCCATAGTTAGCACTTTCAGAATATTTTGCTGTACTGGTTTAAGAAAAAACAAGCTACAAAACAAACAATTTTGAGGGGGCATATTTTTCCCAGTAGTTTACAGTACATTCTCAGATTTCTGCCCAGAGAGGGTTGCAGACTTTAACGTTTTGAAGTCTCAGAGGGGTTAGTAATTGGCTCATTAATCTCGATAATTTGTACTCAAATGAAAGAGAATATCCACTGGAGACGAATACAGCCTGAAATAATAGCTCTGAGGTGTGAACTTCATCAAGAGTCAGGCTATGTCTATACTTCCAATTGAATGACAAAAAAATTATTCTTCAGAGGTGCTGAGCTTCCTCCCCCACTCCACTAAAAGTCAAGTTTTGCCACAAAAAGTACCAATGTGAACAGCGTGTTGTTGGCAGAGTTACTCAACAAACAGCATTTACATTGTTTGCAGGAGAGGGTTAGAAGTATTTTGTCAGTGGCTACCCTGTAGACTTTTAGGGTATGTCTACACTACAGCACTAATTCAAACTAACTTAGTTCGAATTAGTTAATTCGAACTAAGCTAATTCGAATTAGTGCATCTAGACTTAAAAACTAGTTCGAATTAGCGTTTTGCTAATTCGAACTAGCATGTCCACACTGAGTGGACCCTGAACTGAGGTTAAGGATGGCCGGAAGCAGTGCCGGGAGGGCATCAGATTAGGACTTAGAGTGTGGAGCTGCTGCCTCAGGCTAGCCAAGGGCTGTGCTTAAAGGGACCCGACCCCCACCCTGGACAGACAGTTCTCAGGGGTTCCCAGCTTGCAAAGCAGTCCTGGCTTGGAGTGCCCTGAGTGCCCACACTCGGCACATCACAGCACTCGGCCATCAGCCCGGCTGCACTTGCCGCAGGCTGCCGTCCGGGGGGCGGGGTCAATCAAGGGGCTTCAGGAGAGTTTCCACCCCGAGGAGCCCGCAGAGCCAGC